CCTGTATTTCTTTCTTTATGTGTATCCTGGAAGGAGGAATACTGAAAGTCTAATGAACTATTTATTTATTTATTTGTTTGTTTGTTTGTTTGTTTATTTATTTATTTAATTTGAGACCGAGAGCACGCGCGCACTCACACACAAGCAGGGGTGGGGAGGCACAGAGGGAGAGGAAGAAGTAGACTCCCTGCTGAGCAGGGAGCCCGATGTGGGGCTGGATCCCAGGACCCCAAGATCACGACCCGAGCCAAAGGCAGACGTTTAACCGACTGAGCCCCCTGGGCGCCCCCACCATGAATAATTTTTACCTTTACCAGATGATTGTTCCGTTACTAACTTACTGATAGGTTTCCACATTTGTATGCCAGGTCCCCCTTCTTCACTTTCTTTATCATCTCCTTAGATCTTACCTCCTCCAAAGACTTTCCTTCCTAAGGGATAGTAACGAGGGAAACAGAGTGCCTCTTGACACCTTCATAGCCGGTAGGCCTTATCTTAGGATTTGGAGCATAAATGGGGAGTTGGCAAGTTTTGGAATATTATTTGTCTTTTGTTCTTGGACTGCAGGTTCCTTGGCAGTGGGGACCTTGCCTTGTTGGTTTGTTCTTGATCGTGCCTGGCACAGCAGCAGCACAGGGATGAAAGTGGACAGCACAGCATTACCTCTGTGCTCACGTTTTCCTGCACCCTGTGAGCTCAGTGCTTTAGGGAGACCGTAAACGGGCTTCAGTTGCATGCTCTGAAAGTCCTGAACATTTGCTAACAGGTACCATTGAAATTTGGGTTTCTACCTATGTTGGCTCCTATCTAAGAGGATAGAGCCCCCTATTTAAAACATGACAAGGGTTTTTTTGGTTTTTGGTTTTAAATACTTGGCATATCTATAGAAGTGCTCCAGATGGATAAATTAAGAGAATGACAATTTGTGTTCTCCACAATACTGTAAAAATGCACACTGGAATTTCTTTTAATACCGAGTACTCTTACTATCTTTAAAATAATTCACTTCTCAGAAATTCAGTTTTCCACACAGCTATTCAGAAGGAGGAGCAACTATTTAGGAATTGAAATTGGGCATATTTCAGAATTCTTACCTCCTGTGTTGTATTGCTGCCTCTGAACAGCTTCTCTCTCCTTCCTTGCTCCATAGTTCACAAAGCATTTAGGCAGTTCTGAGTGACAGTTACCACGGCTTGCATAAAACATTTATTCCTCAAAATGCTTTAGTTTTTATTATTTCATTTTATTCTTTCAGCTCTGAGGTAGGTGGTGTCAGTGGGTGGAAATTCTATTTTATAGTTGAGGAACAACCCAAACCATTTCACTCATAATTCCGTAGTTAATGGCAGGACAGACTTTATCGTGAGGGTCCAGAGACCTACCCATCCAGCCACTGCCATTAATGTCTCTTTGGGTCATTGCTTTTAGATGGTTTATAAAAGGCTCAGGAGTCCATAGTGAATTGGTTTTGGACTTGAACTGAAGAGACAAGAGCCCTTTAATAATTCTATTGTTGCCTGTCAGGGTATACCCAAGAAGCATTTTTAGTTTTTGGTGAACCATATGGAAATATGTGAGGAAGATCTGGAGGCAGATAGTCTCACATTCAAAGAGTAACATTTCTTTCTGTACCTGAGTGAGACCATCTGAGTATATTGTTAAGAATCAAAAAGTTGCCAAAATGGAAGCCAGTACAGGGTGATGTGTTGGAGAGGGAGAAAGCTCAGACTAAGACTTTTCTACCATGGACTTGGTATCAGTTGTTTTCCAAAAATTGTGCTGGAGTGTTACATGCAGCGTTGCTTAGGTCCATTTGATCAATGTGTAACAAATCTATTTCCTCATTATAACATGCCTTACCTCTCTCTAGAATGCATCTTCATTTTTAGCTGTTTTCTGACTTGAAGTATTATTGGTGACGATAAAGAGAAACTGTGTTTAAGGTGACAGATACTTTCAGACTAAAAATAAAGCAGTGGTTCTCATTAACCAAGGTCAGGGAGAATGTGTGTACGGTTTGAAAAAGTTCCCTAAGATTCCCTTCACTCTCACTAGTTGAAAAACAATGCATTGAAATCTACTTTCTGCTAAATACAGTTGAAAATCACAATGGCAAGTATGAATTGAGGTAGTTACATGGGCTTCATCTGCTACCCTAAACGAAGGGTGTTTGGGAAGTATAGATAGAACCACAGTATTTTTTTTTCAAAGATTTTATTTATTTATGTATTTAGACAGAGAGTGAGCTTGAGTGGGGTGATGGGGTGTGGGGGGACAGAGGGAGAGGGAGAGAAAGATTCTCCAGCAGACTCCAGGCTGAGTGTAGAGCCCAATGCAGGACTCGATCCCATGACCATGAGATCATGACCTGAGCTGAAATCAAGAGTCAGACGCCCAGCCAGCTGAGCCACCCAGGTGCCCCGATAGAACCACAGTACTACAAAGCTTCTTGGTGCTCTTAATTTTAATCCAGGAGGTATTGTAGCTCATACAGTATGAGTTTCCTACCTCATGGAGAAACTTAAAAAGTAGACCTGAAGTGCTTTTTAGTTACTCTTATTCCCTCATCATCCCTTCCGTTATGAATAATCTAATCAGTTCTCTTCCTGAGATACTTGCAGTACAAAGGAGGAAAAACTTTTCTTTGGAACCAGAAGACCTGGGTTCAGGTTCTAACTCTGCCATTTGCTGGTTTAAATTGCTTAAATTTTCTGAGCTGCCTTGGGGCTTGGGAAATGGTAATTGGCTTGAATGAGATGAGTTAATATCATTCTTTGCCTACCAAAGTATCCTGTATGTATAAATATAACCAGCATTCCTCCTGGTTATGGGTGGGTTAACTAGTCATGATTGATAGCTGTGGGAAAAGGGATAATTAAGTTAAAATAAGAATAGAGAGAGAGTACATACATTTTACCTTTTTATTTTTTATTTTGTTATTTTTTTTACATTTTTACCTTTTTATCTTGAAATAATTTTATATCTGTAGAAAAGTTGTTAGAACAATCCAAGGAATTCTGTATATCCTTCCCTCAAATTCTTCAGTTGTTAACATTTTACCACTTGCTTTGTCATTCATTGGGGAAGAATGTTCAGCTAACAGCTGAGTGTTTACAACATGTCAAGCATGTTTTTACTTGCCTTATGTCATACACCAATCCACTAACATATAGGTACTGTTATCTCCAGTGTGTAGAAAAAAAAACTTAGGGGTGCTTGGGTGGCTCAGTTGGTTAAGTGACTGCTTTCGGCTCAGGTCATGATCCTGGAGTCCCAGGATTGAGTCCTACATCAGCAGGGGAGTCTGCTTCTCCCTCTGCCTGCCGCTCCCCCCTCTCATGTGCTCTCTCTCTGTCTCTCTCTCATTCTTTCTCTCTCAAATAAATAAATAAAATCTTAAAAAAGAAAGAAAGAAAGAAAGAAAAACTTAGGTTAGATAAGTTGCCTGAGATTCCACAGCAGGTAAATGGCAGAGGTTGGATAGGAAAGTCCATGTTTTTCACCACCTTCCTCTACTAGTGGATCTGGAGACTTGCATTCTAGCCCAGGTTTTGCCACTAACAGTGGTATGGTCACTGGCAGTTTATTTCACAGCAGTTCCTTTGTTTTCCAGCAATTTCCCTTCTTTTCATGGAACCCAATGTCCCTGGTCCTGACTCACCTCACTGTAGAGACAGGTTACCATCAATGAAGTATCTTGAGTTTTTTAGCTATATAAATCAATGCTTGATCTAGTATTGCTGATTAAGTATAATTTGTTTAAGCAAAAATAACTACAGTTTGTGTGCAGAGTTTGCTGTTGAAGTTATGGTGAGGTGTGAGTACACTCCTTTACCCACACCGATTTCCTATACCCTATTTCCATATGAAATAGATGGAACTGTCATGATTTGATTGGTGTTCTCTTTTGCAAAAGGATAAACCAGCAGAGTTTTTCCTGTTAGGCAAAGTATCCAGGGGTGCTGGACTATTCCTTGCTCTGAGCACCCCCCCTGAGATCAAGATTATTGATCCTTCTCTCTGTTTGGCTACTGGGCCGTGAGCATTTTGGTTCTAGGAGACTGGGGAAGATGACAACAAGGTTTGGTCTTTAGATTATTTGCACTTTCTTTGAATTGAATTCCACCCCCCCCCCCCCAACCCTTGGTTTGATCAGAGGAATCTTTCCCCTCGGCTTTGATAGAAGTAGATTTTGTGGAACCTTGAACTGAAGATTGTAAATTTGGTAGCTTGTGGGCCAGATGTGGCTGGCAAATATGTGTTTTTGGCTTGCCTAATGTCTTAAATTTTTTCCATTAGTAGCCAACATTTAAAAGCCAGAGGTTTTCACATAAAAACCTAGCTTTCGAAAGCTTTTCTTTAAAAGGGGAGAAAATAAAAGGAAAGAGATGATGATCCTGGGCCTACAAAGAGCAGAAATGGAGTGGAACAGCCGTCGAGCGCTACTGTCCCCAGTAGCCTATTTTGTACCTGGCTCCTGTAGACACTTGAATTTTCAGCTCTAGATCTAGAACTTGAATTTTTGTTTTAAAAGCTGGAGAAGTACAATTGGATGAGTTAGTGTTGTTAGCTTATCCGTGGTTACAAGAGTTCTGCTTTCTTGGATAGGTAGAAAAATAGCTTATAAATACGATAAGGGACTTACAAGATCAGAGTATTTTCCCTGTCTTTGTCATTGTTTAATTTCCATCATTGTGGGCCAGAGTGACTCCTAGATCTGAGCGCTTTGGTCATCCCTTCATTGCCTGCACACAGGCACCGCTGCCAGCAGAGGGTGCTGTCCACTCACTGAGCCTGCTGTCATGGTGGCTCAGCTGATCCGCAGCTGTTGGGCATGTGCCCTGGGTCTGTGTGAGGCTTTGGGCATGTTCATTTGGTTCCCATCCCTAGTGCCCACCCCTTAGACCCTGGCCAGGTTATTGTGTCACTAGGGACTCTGTTCAGTAACAGGAAACTGGGGAAAGTTTAATTGTTTTCTCCTCTCTCTTTTTCCCATGCAGCTGAACAAAAGGTTCATCCTCAGTTTTCTCCATGCCCATGGGAAGCTGTTTACCCGGATTGGGTAAGTGTGCAGGATGTTTATTTTATTTTCCTACATTACAAGTCATTTTGGAATTTAATATTGTTAGCAACTAGACTGTGTTTGTAACTGAGGGCACAGGGTGTGAATTCTTAGAGGCCTCCACCTTCTCTTCACTCACTCTGCTCATGAAGTTTGGGAAATATTATTCTGCATCCATCTGTCTCTTCTTTCTCTATCTTTACTAAAGCCCCTTTTAAACATCCAACCCCCACCTCTAATCCCTCTGATTTCTCTTTCCTCTGCCTTCCAGCTCAGCCCCTAGTGAACTCCTTAAGGAAGTCGTACTCAGTCCCTAGGTACAGCTGTCAGGGGTCCTCCTTGGGGAGAATGCTGTCCACTAATTTTCCCTTAAAGAGAAGAGTAACATTTTCTTTCCTCTAACATTTTCTCTTCCTTCTGAACCATACCCCTTTCTTCCCTGCTCAGGTTTGTGCACCATATTGCTGATCTCCATAAATGCTAAGACTTTTCTTTGGTTTCCCCATCCGCCATGGATTTACATGTAAATATCAGGGAAGATGGTGTGTGCAAAACCCTGTTACTTCATCCATTAAATCCCTGGAAAGACATCATGTTTTGAGTATTCCTTTCGTGGATCAGAATTTTTCCTCACTGTATAAAACTAGTGATCCTAAAGCCTGATGAATGCCTGCACACCAGACTAGAGGTATGCTGAGTGCCTCTGTAGTCTAGGAGACAAGTAAGTGGCAGCACTCTCTGATGGGTCTTTGTCTGCGTTTTCCTATTCCCTGAGTTGGAGGTTTTATTATGAGCTACCCTTTGAGGTGTATCTTTTGGATCCCCCATTATTGTCAGTGTTTCCCTCACTTTCTGCCATAGCCTTCTGAGTTTATCTGTAATGCTCTAGAAGGTTTCCTTAGTGGGAGAAGCAGAAAGGTTTTGTCTTGCTTCAAGAAACACTGTGAAAAAACATGGTGAACTAGAAAGTGTGCTTGTTACATACTCATTTGTCATCAACCTGGGCAAGAGTGATAGTGATGGCCAGCACAAGGGTAGTCTTGATTTTGAAATCACTAGGGAACCTTGGAGTAGTGCCAACAGATGCATCTCTATTGGGAGAACTAAGTGTAAAGTAATTCACTTGGGAAAAGGAAATCAGGTGTGTCAGTAGCCTCCCCCCCCCCGCCCCCATAGGCTCTACCCTGGCAGGAGTTTTTGCTCAACGCTGTTGTATCCCCAGCGCCTAGCATACAGTAGGTACTCAGGAAATACTTGCTTATGAATGAATAAATCATTACAAGAAATGGACAGATTGTCAAAGACTAGAGAGAAGGATCTAGTATTGTAGTAGGTTATAGTAGACCCAGGCCAATCACTAGTGAGTCATGTAAAGCTGCAGCTGCAAGGTGGACAAGATGATATCAAGGTCATTTCATAAAATAACGCATCACAGCAGGAAATACAATTATGCTGCACTTAAAATATGGCTCCTTTTTATTATCTTTTTTCTCATTTTAAAATCTTTCTTACTACCTTACTACCTTTCCACTCTGTATTTCTCTCCTTTTTTTCCTTTTCCTGTGTTTGTTCTTTAAATTTTCATGTACCATGATTTTATGAGTCAGTATTTCTCAACCTTTGTACCATTGATATTTTGAGCCTTATAATTCTTTGTTGTTGGAGTCTGTCCTGTGTGTTGTAGGATTTTAACAGCTTCCCAGGCTTCTCCCCACTATGTGCCAGTGGTATCTCTGCCTCTTCTCACCAGTCATGACAATTACAGATGTCACCAGACAATGCCAAATGTTCCCTGGGGGGCAAAATTGCTCCTGGCTGGAAACCGCTATTCTGTTAGAGATGTGGGGAGCTAAAGAAGTTCTAAATCTTGGTCTAGAATGTAGGAATATTTAAGATATATTTTTGTCAGGTCTAAGTATTAGGTAGAATCTTACTTTTGTTCCCCTTAAAAATTCTTATAGTTAGATACATATATTTTGGAGGAACTTGGGGAAAGAACCATAATAATGATTAAAAAGCTAGAAAATTATTTCTGAGAGAAAAAATTAATCTTAACAGAATTAAAGTAAGAGGCACCTGGCTGGCTCAGTTGGTGGAGCATGTGCCTCTTGATCTCAGGGTTGTGGGTTCGAGCCCCACGTTGGGTGTAGAGATTGCTTAAAAATAAAATCTTAAAAAAAACACACACAAAAAGTTAAGGTAAAATAAAAAGTCTATTTAGAGACAGCTGTAGGGTACCTTGTGTTTAAATATAAAAGAGTCATAACCGGATAGTTTTGATTTCTATGGGATGACAGCAAGAGAAAATAGGCTTATGTTGCAGCTGAAGAGATTTGGGTTAGGTGTAAGTAAATTTCACAGAGGGAAGATGTTTGGGAATTTTCTTCTCTGGAAGTCTTTAAAAAAGAATAGATATTCTCATTTGTCAGAGGTGGTTTGCTGTGGTCCAGATTATTTTTCAGGACCTCTTCCATTCCTGCATATAACATATTCTGTTGGCAAAAAGATAAGGCCAGTCTATGTTCATCTTCATAAAAAATGAGTTACAGTTATGTTCACATGAGGAAAATATATGTAAATTCTAGGCACTCCAGCCCCTTGATGAGTATTCTTGTGCTCTCCTGGAAGGAAAAGAATTGAGCCCCATATTTATTCTGGAAGGCAGAAACAGCAGTAACTTCTATTGGGGGTAAAAAAAAAAAAAAAAGTATAGTAGTCTGTAAGACTAGAAAAGGAGTGAGCCCAAGCCACACACAACAACATGGACTGTTGCCTAATTACCAAGAAGATGTGAAATGTGGGAGGTGTTGAAAACGAATTAAGAGTGAGGAGATTGTAATGGGGAGCAGCTGAAGACACATCCACCGTCCTGCCTGCCTTTTGAGAAAAGCCCTGGGTTGCTTTGCTCTCCGGGCCTGTGTCTTCTCTGTGCTAGGTGTTCCAAATCGCATCTGTATCCGCTTGAATGCCAATTGTGTGCAACATGAGTCTCCCTCCTCTGTGTCCAGGGAAAAAGAGGTTCAGAGCATTAGGTGGAATCAAGTGCCCAAGGGGAAAGTTTTGTTTTCACCACTGACTAATTACAAGACCTCGAGAGGGAACAAGTCAAAGCCTTTTTGGGCTTCAGTTTCCTTATCAGCAGTTTAAATAGGTGATGTCCAAGGTCCATTCCAGTCCTTATGTTCTGTAGCACTATGATTTTTTTTTCTCTCATCTCTATCCTGTCACATGGCTTAGTTTTGTTTGTTTTTGTTTTGCTACTGGATTGCTCCTATCTTGTCCAGTTTTTAAAAATTAAGAAGTTGAAAAAAATTAGGAAGCATGATTGTTTTCTGCAGAGAATGTCATCTCGCCCAGCTGCGTTCCTCAGCATCTGAGAGGTTGGGTGCTGTCCCGTTAGTCACTGTCTGAGTCACTCCCAGTTTAGGTCCCAGTGTTGTCTGAAAGACTGGTTTCTTGAAACTGCCATTCAGATGAGACAAGGTGTCTCTAGAGATTGCTTCGGAAAGCAGTCACTTAAGTCTGCAAAATGCTTATCCTGAAAATGATTGTATCTTCTGCAGTTTTTAAGGATAGGGACAGAATCTTCTCAGGCTCAGGAAGAAGATTCAGTCAGGGATCCCATATGGCTCCTGACAGACACTTGCTTTCCTGGTGAGAGGCAGATCAGACCTGCGCCTGGACTCCACTGAGAGAGGTTGGGAAGCCGGCAGCCTGGAGACTTCTGATTTGTGACAAATAGAATAATTTCGCTTCCCATTATTGCGTTGGTTAAAGTTACCGCTTTAGTTTTTACTTGCTTGCTTAGTCACGCTATTTGCACGGCTTCAAGGTCTCTTGGAATTCAAAGACTGATATATTTATTTTGGTCTTTGAATTGTGAAAAATGCAATGTTTATGTCTTGATTTATTATTAAAATTATAAATGTTTTATATACAAAAGCCAGACGTATTCATTGTAGGGAAAAATCTATTCACTGCATACAGTGCTCATTGTAAAATATTAAAACCCGGCAAAAGAAGAAATAAAAAATTGCCCATCTTCTCACTATCTAGAGATAACTCTCCACCCTTAACACTTGGTGTATATTTTTATCTTTTTTTCTATACATATCACACATTTATTTTTTTACAAATATGTGTAACAAGGGACATTCAACTATTTTAAAAGTGTATTCATTTAATATATATTGAACTTTCCCCCACATGATTAAAAATCTAATACAACTTTTTTTTTTTTTAAGATTTTATTTATTTATCTGACAGAGAGAGCAAGAGAGGGAACACAAGCAGGGGCAGTGGGAGAGGGAGAAGCAGACTTCCCACTGAGCAGGGAGCCCGATGTAGGGCTCGATCCCAGGACTCTGGGATCATGACCTGAGCCGAAGGCAGACGCTTAACGACTGAGCCACCCAGGCACCCCTCTAATACAACTTTAAAAAAAAAGAATTTGAGCACTGGGTGTTATATGTTCTGATCTAACTGATGAATCACTAAATTCTACCTCTGAAACTAATAATATGCTATATGTTAATTAAATTGAATTTAAATAAAAAATTAAAAAATAGAATTCAATTATATGGATGTGCCATCTTAATGATCTGCTGTTGTTGGGCATTTTAGGCTGTTTCCAATTTTTTGCTGTTATAAATTACCATCTTTTTATGCTCTCTCTCCTCCTCCTTTGCTGCTACTGCTGTTGCTGCTTTTTATAATTTTATAAAACTTCAAACATAAGTTGTACATTGTATTTCCATTTCAGTATAATTTTTATCCTGTAATATCGGGTGGAGCAAAGAGAAAGACATAAAACTACTTACAGGTGGTTTGATGCCCAAATCAGCATTTTAGTGACAAAACTGGGAAGCAGAAACCCCGCTATTGAGCTCTGAGGAAGGATCTGTTATCTGTGCGTCCCTCAGTTACTGCCTAACAAAGCTGCTTTAGTCTGAGTGGATTCATCTTCCCTCATATCTCAGAGTTGAAGTTACTCTAACCGATATCCTTATGTATTTGAGGGGTTTTTTTTGTTGTTGTTATAGTTATGTTGTACTAGTTGAAAGGCAAAGGGAGGATCTTTTTTTTGTTGTTATTAAAAAAAAAAGAGAGAGAGATGTGGATATTTGACCTGGTGCTCATTTGAGACTTCAGTCTGACCTAGGGAGTTAATGGATCTGTTTCAATTCCCATCCCAGGGAAGAGGCTTCCTCAGACACAGCTTCGAAGCAGGACTGTCCCACGTGACACCTCTGTCCTGTCATTCTGTGCTGGCTCTCTACTGCCTTTCAACACGGAGACACATGGCTCTGAAACTTGCCCACTGTGGCTGCTTTTCAAGCAGAGTGAACACTGCTATTCTCGTAATGAGAAGTGCTAGCCCCCCTCCCCACCTCCGACCAGAAAGAGTGCTGCACAGTGTCAAGATTTAAAATGAAACCTTTGTTATAGCCCATGGGGAAAAATGGATCCATTCCAGCCCCAAACATATCACTCTCTGCCATTCCAAACCTACCAAGAGTTTTAATGGTTCTGAATTGGAAGGAAAAACAAGGTTCTTTTTTTTTTTTTTCCTTGTTTTTTCCGGGGGGGGGGGGGGCACTTGAAATGGCATGTTGGGGAAAAAAGCAAATACATGGCATGTTTTCTGCCAATGAAAATGAGGACAGCTCAGCAGAGAAGGGAACTGGAGTATAAACTGTAATTGACCCATAGCTGTGGCATGACTCCTGGGTACTAGAAGGTCAGTAATAGGAGTTGCCATCCAAGGGTAAGGAATGAAGATTGCTAAGATGCCAGAAAGCTCTGGAGTTTTTTTCCTAACTCGGGGAGGGTATTACTCAGTGGCGAAAGGGCCAAGGTTCAGGTGAAATCAGAAGCACCTTTCTCTAGGGCTTGAAACTGTTTTGTATCTTTTGAGAAAGATTCCCTTCCCTGTGGCTTTCCAGAAGCTATTTATTAATCCAGCCTGGAGCTATTCCTCACCCCACCCCCCAGTGTACCACAAGGAGTTTGTTTGTTTGGGGGGTGGGGGTTGAGGATGGATAAAAGATACTTTGCTGACCACGAATTGTTCAGCGTGGCTCTATGGCCCATGTGCCTGGTTTCTCTCTCTAGCACCAAGTTTGAATTTGCTTTTTATTTTCTGAGGACTTGAGCTGTGGTTTTGTTCATGTTTCCAAAGGAGCTCCAGGCATGCACCACTGTTTGGGATCCAGTGGCCACATTTGGCAAGCAGTGGTTTGAATGACCTCTCTTTAGGAGCCCTAGGTCACTGGCTGGATTTCTACCTCCCTACATTATAGGCTCTTCCTGTATTGGGAGTGGCAGTTGGCCAGGGCATTAGATTTCCACTGGCCTGAAAACATACAGACCCTGATGAGCAGAGGCTTGTGAGAGGGAGGAGGACAGCAACACAGGAAAGACTGAAACAGATCATGGGGGCCCTTGGTCTAGGGCTTCTTCAAGGGAAAGTCTGGGATCCCCAGGTGGAGCAATTAATGTGATGGTACCTAAAAGACAGCAGCAGAACTATGCCTGGTTTCCTGAAGCGAAGCCTCTAGATTCATGAACCTCTTTTTAAGGAATACAGTTTTCATACCAGAGAGTTTGGGGAGTATGTAGGTTGTAGAGCTTTAAGGAAATTTGTTCACTATTCACAAAAACGGAGTGTTTCAGAGAGAAACTTTGATTTCAGCTTGAATCCAGTGGTTGCCAGGGGTTAGGAAATAGCATACCAAAGCCTAATAACTCATAGTGACGTATCCAGAGGTTGAGTTGTTTCCATCTCTGATCCCTGATCAATTCTTTTTCTTAAATGTGGTCACAACCTTAGGATACCGGGAAGGTTTGTGAAAGAAAACGTCCTAGGCATGAGGGGTCTGCTTTCAGAGAGACACGGCGTGGTGGGGTGGGAGTTTGTGGGCGCGTGTGCGTGTGCACACCAGCTGCTCTTGGGCACGTGCCTCCCTGAATGAGCTGGCTGTGTTTGCAGGATGGAGACATTCCCTGCGGTGGCGGAGAAGGTCCTCAAGGAGTTCCAGGTGCTGCTGCAGCACAGCCCCCCTCCTATTGGAAGTACCCGCATGCTGCAGCTTATGACCATCAACATGTTCGCTGTGCACAACTCTCAGCTGAAAGGTAAGGAACGGCTGGCATCTTTATCCACACAGATAAATCTGAGTCTAGCTTCTTTCATACGCTGCCATACCACGACATTCCCCCTGATACACACACACGCAAACACACGCTTCCCTATCATTGCCTCTCAGATTTTTAATTTACTCTCTGAAATCTGTATGACTCTCTAGTGCTTGGGTGGGATGAAAGGAAGGAATCATGGGTATAGAGCTTTATTTGCAAACCCAGAGATGCTGTTGCACATCTGGCCATGCTAAAGGCAGCAGCAAGGCCTCTTGGAGGCTACAGACCCAGAGCCTCTCCCAGGGGAGAGGCATTGCTGAAATGTTTCATTGCAGAGACCATACGCTTGGCAGGGATTGGGAATAGCTGTTTCTGGACGCATGTACCCTGTTTGTTCAGTATGGAAAAGTCTAGTTCCCTATGGGCTATCCCTTGTGGGAGCCTGCCAGGGAGTAGTGAATTGATGAGCTTTGGTGACTCAAGCTGGAAGCACAAAAATCACCAGGCCTAGAATTTGGCCATTATACTGGTGTGCATTCTGAAAAGCTTTTCTGAACACTGGGGTTTTTTTGAGGTGGGGGTGGGGAGGGAGGGGCTGATTGGCAGGATTTGTAAATGTTCTGATGACCAGGTCACTGTTGAAGGATGTTACCAGGATCCCTTCCCTCCCCTCCACCCCACTTAGGTAAGGATGATGTGGTTTGACTTGATGGAAATATGTAGCATGGGGGTGACATTGTTTTGTGTGTTTATTTGGTCCACGCTGCCAAGAATCGTTTCAGAGGATTGACAGAGAGTGTTTGGTCTCAGGGCTGGAAGGTTATTATCTGAAATGCCAAGAAGTGGAAACTGTCCTGTGCAGATTCTGTTTTAAAACAGACCTGGTCGGGCGCCTGGGTGGCTCAGTTGGTTAAGCAACTGCCTTCAGCTCAGGTCGTGATCCTGGAGTCCCAGGATCGAGTCCCACATCGGGCTCCCCGCTCAGTGGGGAGTCTGCTTCTCCCTCTGACCCTCTCCCCTCTCGTGCTCTCTCGCACTCTCTCTCTCTCAAATAAATAAATAAAATCTTTAAAAAAAAAAACAGACCTGGTCTTTCTGGACAGAGTGTCGCTCGTTCTCTTGTTGCATCTTTTCTTAGTGCTTTCTCACTCTGAAGTTGATTTATTTCCCTTCCCATTTGTACTTGGGGGTTATGCCTCACTGGTATTGGGGGTGGTGGATTTCTCCCCTGATGAGTATATATGCCACACTTTCCCTTGAAAACCTGGCTTCTCCTGGGACTTTCTCTGCAAGGTCCTCTGCTCGTCCACCTGGGTTTTCAATCATATCTGAATCTTAGAGGATTTTCTCCCCTCATGCTGCCTGCTACAAAATTGAGAGTTCCCAGCAGAAGTCAAGATGCAGAGGCTTAGGTGCCTTTTTGAGCTTGGGTAATTATTCCTGAGAATACCTCTGAGAAAGCATGCAATCTTGAGGGGCAGTGGTGGTTTCCAGGAAGGAGGAAATAAAGTTTGTGAAGTGCTGTCATGGTGGGTTGTGAAGTCCAAAGGGGAGGGAGATTGATTCCTTCACCGTTACTCTGCTGGTTCTCCTACCAATTGGGAAGCTCACCGGACTCAGGAGCTGGGGCCTCCTGCAGTGCCCTTCTATTTATTTTCCTGCCTACCTCTAACAGCAACACAGAGTTCGGTGAGTTGCTGCTCTGTCACAGAACTGCAGCCTCTGCCAAGGTATCATTCCAGCCTCGAGTGACCTGTGGTCTCAGGAGGTGTGAGTGTAAAGGACCTGCGGCTCTTGCCTGCGAAGCATCTGTTGTCAGCAGCTTCTGCTCCATGAAAAGGAATACCTTGGCCTTTTCATAGGCCACCAGTGAGTCCTTTTCTTGTAGCTGCTGTTGAGTAAAGGTTAAGAAAATATGGGTGAAAGGAAGGTGAGGTGGTGAGAACAGAGAAAGGAGAAAATAGGTGGTTCTCCCATGTGAGGCCAAGGTTCTTTTTTCAGGACTCTTTTCTATCCATGGTTGGTCATAATGAGGACCTGCTAGCCAAGAAGGACAAGTCAGAGCCTGTGCTTGAGACTGCTCATTTCTGGCCTTGTCCTGACGCTCACCTCCATGAGGCAGCTGGGGCCAAGGGGAGTATGAGCTGAGGTGGTCAGAAGCTCCAAGAGTGTTTCAGGGAAAAACAGCCTGGGCCACAGGATATAACACTCAAGTAGGACAGAGAGCTCTGCGGACGTGCTGCCAAGTACCCGGTGTGCAGTTGAGGCGGCCGTCCAGACCCCACTGTGTGGGCTGCCATTGGGAGAGGGGTGAGCAGAGCACTCAGCGGGGCCAGTTGGTGGGAAGATGCACTTTTCCATTTCCCAGCACATGAGTCATCTTCTCTGGGCCCCTGTGCTGTGCTTGCACGGACAGTGGCAAGAAGGGGGTGTTGTGGCTGAGTAGCAGCATCTGTGCCGGGGGTGGAGAGGGAAGGGGGTTGGGGAGAGGGTAAAGATTTAAATCCTTCACTAATCAACAGCAGTTTGAATCACATTTTTATGAGTAAGGAAGTGATAAATCAGCCCTGAGTGTTCAGCCCCCAAGTCCTGTCAGCTGGTGCCCTTCTGAAGGCTTCTCTCCAGGCCAGTCTGCTTGCTGTCAGAGTCGCCACCCAGCCACAGAACCCTGGCTGTCTGAAACCGGGAAGCAAGGGCCTGATGCTGCCTGGCCCTCCCAGGTGCTTGGGGTCTTGGTGATTTGGCAGTCACTGCGAGTTACAGAACATCTGGACCATCATTTTTCTTTCCATTCTTACTTGGACATGTCCTTCTGGGTGGGTGTTTGCATATGTCAGTTCCTGGACTCTGTGGAGAAGGAACATTCCAGCCTGAAGCAGAGGTGATCTGTGGCCCCCAAGGCAGTTGGGATCCTTTCAGTCTGTGCCTGGGCCTTCCTTGTAGATATGGTACCTAAGGCGTATGATTTGAAGAGCAACAGGGACGCCCTTACTAAAAAGTATGTTCTTTGTTGATGCCTCTGATTCATTTTTTTTGTGTTCAGTGCCACCCTTGTATAACTGTCCTCTTTTCAAAATACCAGTAGTTCAGGGATAGAATGATACTAACACTTTAGGGTGATTGCTTTTTAAATGTGCTTTCCTTGTGGTCAAGAGAGATATAGAACTGTTTAAAAGCTTTGGACACCTCACAAGTAAAAATGGAGGAAAAAACCCTCAGCTGGTGACAACTAAAAGGCATCTTTCCCCTTTTCCCAGGTTATATAGTTTTCCCTGGAGCTCAGGAAGGCAGAGGATGTGAGATCAGATTTGCCCCCCTTCACACAGGAGGAAATAAATTGAGTTCTGCTACATCATTTAACCAACTAAACTTTCAGATCTCAGCAGTGATCTCAAAATTCATGGGTTGAGGGCCATTGGTGGGGGAGACCTCTGTCTCCTCTCATTTGAGCCCTTTGCAAAAATTCTGCTTCAGTGGAACTACAGAGTCTAGAATCCCGCACTGAAGTGATTGGGGACAGATAAATTTGAGGGATGTTTGGGGGGTTCTTAGGAAAGTGCCTAGTACTTACTAGGCACTCAGTTAAGTCTGTACTGAATGCATGGATGAAGAAGGCCACAGTTCTGGCAAGCCAGCTCTCATTGAACAGTGTGTTCCTTACCTGGCTTGGGTCCAAAATTGTTCTTTGGCGAGTGATGGGTGGTGGTGAGATAGGTGGTTCCCAGAGTGATGTCACAATCGGTAATCTCTCTACAGCATTCCTGAGCCCAAAGGGAGAAATGGGGCCTTCTCCACGTGCCTCAGCATTTAACACTTCAGTGGCCGTTTGATCGGCTGACGTGATGCTGGAGGGTGAACTGTTGATCTAAACCACAAACACTCCAAGAATTTTAATTTTTTGAAAATTCTGTAATTGAAGGAAATAGACTCTAGTTTCTTGAAGAGGAATAATTGAAGTAGCGTTTGTGGTAGGGCATCACTGAAGCCCATTGCATCCCCCATCTGTGCCCAATTTGCTCCAATCTGGCCTTTTTTTTTTTTTTTCTTCTTCTTCCTTTTTCTCTCTCCCTCTTGCTCTTTCTCTTTTTAAAAAATATGTTTTATAATTCCTGGAATCAAAACCATCTCAGTCACACACTGTTTTATTTTACTGTATTATTGGATTATACTTCCTATAAATCATTGGATGTTATTCATTGGCCACCACTGGAATAACTTCCCTTTTCTATACTCTGGCCCCCTCTTTTTCCTCCTCCTTTTCCTCCTCTACCAGTTCATAGGCCAGGCCTCCATTTCAGCCTTGCAGAAACGCCCCAGAGGCAGCAGGAGGGCACCCAGAAACACTTCTCTCGTGTGCCGTTGGTACTCCCTGCTTTTAGGGAACATTTCGGGGCTGGGATTGAGGTAGGGATGGACTGGCATTCCTTCCATTATCAATTATGCTTGCTCTTATGGCTCGTTAGTAATCCTGCATTGCAGGAGGTAGAGGGAGTGCCACACGTGTGTCTCCAGAGGAATAGAGAATCACAGCTGTCTATGTGGGACCGATAGTGGTTAACCCAGATGTTGGGATGCTTGAGGTAGAGACCTCACACCTCCATGCTGTTGTTGTGTATGCTGGTTGACTCTAGTTGAGAAGTTTGATTCACAACCAGAGTTCCTTTGTTTTCCAGCCACCTCACAGACTTTGAGTACAGCAATCTGCTTCTCTGTGGCAATTCACTTCTGTCTGAGTCTCTTACCAAAGCAGAATGTATGAAGTGCCTAATCCTCTGCTTGTCAGAACAGTTGTACAGGAAATCCACCTTTCATAAGGGGTTAGGCTTGAGTTTAGCTGTATAAACTGTCCTTCTCATTCCTCCTTCTCTAAGATCTCTAGTGGTAGAAGCCCTTGGGCTTTTTCTCCTAAAGGATCCATGGGTAGATTTCTCCAGGTAATCAGCACTTCCTGACCTTCATTTCCAGAACTGCTCAGTTTAGAGTAAATTAGCAAAGAA